CTGATCTCAAGTACAGCGAACTGCAGAGAAAGTAGAAAGTGTACAAATAACACATTACCCCACTGACTGTATCTCATATAACTTGATTTTCTAATGTCTGTGACCCAGGGTTCATGTTTATCTGCATTCTGAACATGCTGTTGGCAGTTGCCTACCCAGAAATTAAACTGAGGGGAGAGATGTGTTATTGCAGAGAATAAACCGTTCTGGAATATTCATAGTATATACAGATTGTACTCAACATTCTGTTATTAGCAAAAATTTAATATATCTTCTAGCATTACCTATATTTACCATTTTAAATGCAGTTACTTAGAGAAGAACAAAATACCAAAAGATAAACTAAATGCATTTTACAGCCCAAAACCCAAATAATCAGCAAACACAATGTCAATCAACTTATGGGCATTCTCAAAAAACAAAGAGAAAAAGATGATGAAAGGATTTTGATGAATGAAAAATTGCTGATCACATAAGAATGGATCACCTATGTAGGAAAAAATATTATTAGAAGGCCACCAGAGAAACTACATCACTTAAGTATTCCAGGCAGGCATATAGGACATTTAGGACAAGGCAGAAGAGCAATAATATGATTAAGAAGGTCTAAGAAGCAGTGATAGATTAACTCATGTCACACAATGAAAAGAAACTTGGACTTTATGTGGTAGGACAGTTAAGTATTAAATGCAAAATAAATCCATTTCATAACTATATTTTAAAAGAAACAACCAAAACCTTAGTCCAAGTCTCTCCAAGTGAGAGACTGAAAGTACGCTAAAAAAACACAGTTCACTAATTCATTACTGACTTAACTAATCAACATAAACTCATGTAGAGAAGAGTTACAGAACAAGCTGTTGAACACTGTTCTGTGCTCCCTATGTTTGTCCATTGATTCACTGACATACATTAACAGAAAGTGAGCTGGCAGAAAGGCAGATGAATGCAAGGAGATGAGAAGATAGGCAGAGCTCATAATAGTCATAAAAATAAATGTTCTTTGGAACAAAAATGGCTACATGAAAGAAACACAAAAGATATGTCCTGAGAAGAACATGAAGATGTTTTTAAACATAAGTATTAAGTTATGATAACAGAGAGTTTATATTATCAGTACAGCTTGAGGAAAAGCAGGAACTTTCACAATGCTTGTTCTGCCTTTCCTGTATTCATTAGCTCATGAGAGAAACTACGGGTATTTTTATAGAAAGGTGATTACTACTAAGAAGCTCCCGTAGCTTCTGTGGATTTATATTGTATTATTTCTAATCCCTGTAATCCCTTATCACTACAGAAGAAAATTTAAATTCCTTCAGTTTCAAGAAGCCAGAGACAGTGTTTCGTACTGAAGAAAAAAATGGACTTTAAGTGGCACAAAGTTAGATTTTTATCCACATGAAGGCAGTGTGGAGACACTTCATACTGCTTAAGATTTTATGACTGGTTTTTCAGTATAGTTTCATGATTGTTTATTTTAGAAAGCTGTGATTACTAAATGTTTGCCTATTGCATTGCAAGTTTCATTTTAAAAGTATACATATTATGTTTAGACATAAGAAAAAATCTCCAATTAATAATTTTCCTTAATAAGTCAACTGATAATCTTGTTTGCATGATGGCAAGTATTTTAAGCACATACTACAAAACATATTCCACTAATAAAAAAATCTGTCAGATTATGCTTCACAATGGAAAGATGCTTTTGCATGGACTTGATCACTCTCAAAATGTGCAAGTAATTACATAAGGAATTCACACACACAGGAAGTCAAAAAGCTTATGTGGGACAAATAGTACACATGAAAAAAGATCAAACAAAAAAAAAGAAACCCTAACTTGCAAAGTAAAGGACAAAGTGGCAGAGGCTTTCAGAAACAGACTGAGATTTACAGACAAGCATCAACAGTGATAACATAGAAAGCAGCAGCACCAATAAGGCCTGAAGAAAGATAACCATGTGAAGTAAAATAGCTATTACTGGGAAATGCAAGAAGTGAAATTTCAAGGCAAAAGACATAATGGTAATAGAAATATGCATAGGACATTAAGGAAATAAAAATTTTAAGGCAGAAAGCCTGAACAGCGTAATGAAAATGAAAACTCTTTTTTTCTCTCTAGGTATAAAATTAAAAAAGGAGGTCTCAAAGAGATGGACATCTGATACACTGTAAATAAAATCTTTCTGTGATAGGAGGACAGGAATATTTATTTTTCTGATCTTGCTTTCTTAACGAAGTGGACATGAGAGCTGTACAGCCATTCTTGATCATCCTTAAAATGTAGTTAGAAGGTTTATAAGTCAAATACCATGTGTGCAGTACAGAAAATTGCTTCCTAAATTTTATAGAACATGTTACAGGTACTGTAGAGCGAAATGTGTAAAAGTAGATACTATCTAAAACCCAGAGACAAGCTGCTAAAACATAATTTATAATACTGAGCAACTGAATTGTATACTTGACAAGTACATTAAAGAAAACTAGAGGGACTTAAAAATACATCAGTTAAAAAGCCTGCTCCCTGTGAGACCTATGAGACATAAGGGACACTTAGCTACCTTAATGACATCACAACAAGTAAGGAAAGGAAGAAAATATTTTAGACTTTAAATGAACCAAATAATTGAATCAGGCAGTAAGTGAATTCCAAACTTAGCAGTCATCACTGAAATAATGGTTTAAAAACTTAATTCCTTAAAGTTCCATTTTGGTAACAAACTGCATTTTTGGTAAAATTTTGAAGAAAAAATAGATGTGAAATGTTTGAGAGCTCAGTTATTTTGATTACACATTATTTTATGTGCCAGAGACATGGGGGAAAAAAAGTTAATTCTTAAAGGTAAGAAATGGTCATCATATAAGAATGAATGATTGAATCAAGAATATCCTGAGTTGGAAGGGACCACAATCATCAGCAAAGTAAAACTCCTGGGCCTGCACACGACACCCCAAGAGTCACACCATGTGCCTGAGAGCGTTGTCAAGCACTTGTTGAATTCTGCAGGCCTGGGACTGTGACCACTTCCCTGGGAAGCCTGTTCCAGTGCACAATCACCCTCTGGATGAAGAACATGAATCTAACCTAAGTCTTCCCTGACAGAGCTTCACAGCTTTGCTCACTAGGAGTTAGGTTAGACTATCTTATGCTGAAGACTTCTCCAGCCTGTTAAGAATCCTGTGACATAAAACTGCTGTTAGTTAGCAGTCAAGTAATGAATAGTAGCTAGTCCTAGTTAGTAAGAATTAAACTGTTTAAAATAAAGTAAAATTTTACAAGAATTAAAATCAATACAATCCTGACAGTCCTTTACAGTCCTGACAAATCAATAGTAAAAGTATAAAGGTGCAACAGGTACAAAATAGAAATCTTCATTGTCAATAGACAAGTGGAAGCAATAACTGTAGTCCTAATATTAACTCTAAATATTTAAGATTTTTTTCACTGTCATTTTTGCAGAAAGAGTAGTGACAAGGATTGTTGATGGTAACTTCTTCATGCAAAAAAATAACTGCAATGCTAAGAAAACAAGAGATAGGAAAAGCTTCAGTAAGCATTAAGGGTACCAGAATACTTTTTAAACAGCAAGACAAGAGATATCTGCGGCCCGGAAGAACTGTTTTTCTGTTTTGATATTCTGGGAAACTCAGATTTAAAGCAAGTGTCCAATCTGCTGCCAAATTTTAGATGTCTGCATCTACGTGATTTTGGTTTTTGAAAAACTTATGTTTTATAGCCGTGGTGAGCTCAAAGCATTGCTTCGATTGATCTAAGCTGCAGTGACAAAAACTCACCACTTGTGAGTTTTCTGATACACATCTCAATTTACAGGTCTTAAATATGAAAGAGTATCTGAAATACCTCAGTGAGTACAGGGTGACTTGACCACAACTCAGTTCTCTAAAGAGGTATTTCAACCATCTTTTTTTAATCTTTTTTCTTGAACGTATATATTCTACTCTCAAACTGTAGAAAAAACAAATAAAAGTGTTGTACAAAGCTACCTCTATTTGCCAGGAAGCATCAACAGAGTTCTTGTGCAGTATCAGTTCAGTTCATTGCATGAGAGAGAAATAGTCAGAAGTCATCTCTCAAATACAGAAGGGACCAAAATAAGGAGTGGGACACCGAAAAAAAGTTTTATGAACAGCAAATCTTGGCATTTCTACATTTCTGAATTCTACACTGAGTGCCTGAGGTACAAGATGAATATTATTTTGATCTCTTTGTATTGTTTTGTAACTGAAAAAAAAATCAAGCCTTGATTCTCGTAACCAAAACGTTGCACCAATCTGATCAGGGGGGCAGGAATGCTTTCCCTTCATGAACAGGGCAGAAAACCCTTCCCAAAAATATGTGCCTTGATTATCTGGCTGTAGCACTACCTTCTTACCTGCCCATGTGGCTTTGAAACGTTTCTACGAGACGTTTGAGAAAATGGCTCTGAGGGTCAGAAATCTCTGATCCCTCTCCTCATTCTTACAGCCAGTCTGTTCCCGAGGCAACACACTTCAGCTTGCGTACAGACCGACACACCCCCCTGCCAGACCGCCTCCCACAATTTCAGTTCCGCCGAGCCACAGCCACGCCGATTTCCAGGCTCCCGGAGAAGTCAGCGCGTTTCCCAGCTCGCCCTCCGCCCCCGCCCCCGGCCCGCCTCCCTGCGCCTGGCAGGGCCCCCTCCTCTCCGTCGGACGGAGCACCGCCCCTTCCCGCTCCTCGCTGCAGCCAGGCCTGGAGCGCCACGCCGCCGGGACCGCCTCAGACGGATTTCGGCGCCGCCTTCCCGCGGCAGGTGCCAGCGCCCATTAGCGCCGAGGAGCCCGAGGAGCTCGGGGGCTGCACAGCGCCCTGCCGTGCCGCACGGGAGAGAAGGCGGCCGCGGGTAACGCCGCTGCTCCGCGGGCGGCCGCAGCGGAGCCCGGCCCTGTCCCGCTCGGCGCCAAGGCCCGGCCGCACGGTAAGCTGAGGGGAAGGGCAGCCCCAGCGGGGCCACTTACCCGGCCGGGTTCCCCCCGCGGCTCCGCGCCGGCGGCCCCGGCGACCGCGGAGCGTCAGTAACAACGTCCCGGAACGGCCGCTCCGCCACATCCGGGGGCGGGGCGTGGGAAGGCGGGAACCTGCCGGGCTGCGGCGCCTGGCGGGCACCGAGACGGACCGGACCGAACCGAACCGAACCGAACCGAACCGAACCGAACCGAGGCAGCATCAGCGCCAGCACATTGCCCGCTCCCGTAGCCTCCGTACGTGAGCGCTGCAGGGCTCCCCGCCGCAGCCAGGGCCCCTCGCTTGTCACCTCCGGAGCGGGACCGCGGCCGGCCTGCCGCTCCTCGGCGGCGTGTGCCTGTGGCGGCGGGGTTCCTTCACCCGCGGGGCGATGAGAGGCTGCACCGCACTGCCGGCAGCGGAGCAGGGGTTCCAAGGCCTGAACTTCCGGGCATTTGGGTGCAGAGCCAAGATACCGGACCTGGCGGGCTTGGCCCACTGCAGGCTGCAGTTTGGGGCTCGTTTTCAGGCTTCGTTCGTTCTCAGGCTGCTCCGGTACCGCCTGTCAGGTGTCTCTGCTGTGGCAGGCAGTGAGAGCTTAAAATGTGGGGTACCAGCATTCATTCCTTTTGATGTGTTTTCCTATTTTATTGGAAAAGAAGTGCTAGTCAGGCCTTGCAAGCAACTTCCCATGGTGTGTATTTTGTGTGTTAATGTTTCCTTTTCATTCTTCTTTCAACAGATGGCAAGTTGCAGCCAGAAAAGGATAATACAAATAACTGGATTTAAAAAACAAGAGAAGAAGGCATTGCTCAAATGCCTGTCCAAGCTGAACTGTGTTTTTGTGGAGAGTAAGGTATTGTTCATTACAATACAGCAAAGAGAATTAGAAGTGGAAGTAAAAATGCAAGTCTTAGAAGAAAGGACTGTGCGATAGGTTAGTTGTGTATAAATAGACAAAGAATTTTAAAGTTTCCAGTGATACAAAGTGTGTTGTTTTGTTTTGTTAGAAATACAGAAATTGTACACATCTTATAGCAAAAAAGCTGTGCAAGAGTGAAAAGGTCTTAGCTGCCTGCGCTGCTGGTGAGTAAACGATTTGCTGTTTAATTTCATAGCATCACAGCATAAGTCTGGAAAGGACCCTTAAAAGGGTTTTAGTTACCTGTTTTAATTTTGTATATGAACTGTCTTACAAACCTTCATTCTTCTTGTTCCATTAACCTTGATTTTTAACATAGTATTATGTTTAAGTTACGATGAAGTCCACTTTTTTGTTTTGATTTTTTTCCCTAAATGATATGCCTGCTATTTCCTGTTGTTGGATCTGCATCTCTTCCCAAACAGAACACTTTGTTATATGTTAGATAATAAAGTCATGCTCAAATTATTTGGATTCTTAAAAGAAGGCAGAGGGAGTATGAACACCTGTAGTCAGCTTGGATTTTTGACGATAAATGTACATGGAACATTCACTGGCAAAGGTCACTGTAAGTTCCTGTTTATGCAGCAAAAGAAAATTCCAGGCTGTTGCCATTCTGACAGAAGCTACTGGTCTTTCCTCTTTAACTAGGGTCTGGTGCTGAAATCCCATGCATTAGCAACTAAAATGGTTTTAGAAGAAAAACGCTGTATTTTAAGATTTCTTTATGGACTGATCACCTGTCAGAATTCTTAATGCAGTTTGAGTATCTTGTAGTTATGACATATCATAATACCATTTTTAAGCATGATATTTATTTTCCCTGTATCATATTACTCTAAAGTGTTAAAGCAGTTGTTAGGATGGATAATCTTAAATTAAGAGATAATAGAAAAATAGCTAAACATACATTTGGGTTTAAAGATATATTTAAATTCCTTGGTTTCCATATTTATATATATGTATGTATTTTTCTTTGTACTAAAATAAAATTCTGATTGCAATCTTACCTAAAATTAAATAGACCAAAAGTTTGCAAGAGGGAAAAAAATATTAAAATGCATGTAAGTTTCTGGCACAGCACTTCATTTTAGCAATTTTAAACCTCTGAGTTAATGTTTTCTTACTTTTTGAAGTTTAAAATTTGAAGATATTGTCTTGAACAGAGTGGAAACGGTATATCTAGTGTCCTCATGGTGATGCAAAACTCTGTCATGCTTTGATACGTGCAAATCTTTTCCAAGACCATCTAATACTTCTTAATCCAGAAGAGGTGCTAATTTTGCATAGTCATTGCTCTTACTCGTGACAGCAGAGACTGTGTATTCATTCCTACTGTGTTGTTTTCCAGGTAGTGAAGAAAGATCATGTTTAAACACATTTGGAACTCCATAGAGTTCACCAGAAATACTGTCAGGGATACCACTTGTCATGTGCTTTCTATCTGACAGAAGTTTTGGGATGGAAACTTCGCATGAAAGTGGTTTTAACATCCACATGCACAGCATACCTTTTCCAGTCATAAATCCACTGGTACCTATACTAGGTTTTGTAGAAGTGCCATCTGTGCTCCTGCACTGAGACATTTTGTCAGTCAACCCTGCTGTTCTGTGAAACCAATTAGGTTCACACAATTCAAGTCAATCTCTCTTACAGTGTCTTCTGTAGGTAGTGTTTCAATACAGGAGCAGGGTACTAACCAGTGCTCTTGACCTGAACCTGTAAGAAGAGAGAGAGACACAGAAAAGGGGAAGATCATTACATACTATATCAAAAGCATACATGTGGAAGATGAAAGAGAAGAGGCGGAGGAGGTGGAGCCAAGGGATGAGAGAAAAGGATGTGAATAGAAGAAAGGGGAAAGAAAAAAGTCTAAAACTGTGTCCCCCGAATATTGATATTCACTACACTAGCAGTGCAAGTAAAATTAAGAATATATAAGAGAAAGAGCTTACATGTTAAATGTCTAGTTCCTTTAAATCATAGGTAGTAAAATATTTCTTCATTTTAGTACATTTGTAGAAGTGTCAAATGATATTCAAATTAAAGGACTTACCAAGGTTCTGTGAGAGTCCTAAGAACAAAATCTGAGAAGCTGAGAAAATGTATTTGATGTTTTTGAAGAGATAGAAAAGTATTTCATCTAGGAAGGATAAAAAGACACTTAATCATTAAAAGAAAACAAAGCGATCATTTTCAGTGGCATTGTGAGATTTTTGATTCTGGAGTCTGAAGTGCAGGACTCTTGTAATAGGAAGAAGTTTTTTAAATGGTACTTATAATTTCGTCTTTTATTTGGACAAGAAATGTTTAAGTTAATTTTATATTAATTCTTCAGTTGATTGCCATTTGTCTCCACAAAAAAATCTTTTGGGGTTGACAGTTCATTTTCTTCTTAGGAAAGTGGGTACTAACTAAGGAGTACATAATTAATAGTGCTGAAAGTGGCAGATGGCTTGATGAAACAACGTACGAATGGGGATATGAAATTGAAAGAGACACCCATTATTCACCTCAAATGCAATCTGCACCTAAAAGATGGCGCGAAGAACTGACAAACTCTAGTGCTCCAGGGGCCTTCCACAGATGGAAAGTTGTCCTCCTTGTTAAGAGAGGTGATAAACGAATGGCATGTATTGAAAGGTAGGAGTTCCATCCCAGTTAATTTGGTCCATAGCAACCTCCAGCTTTCCAAACTCTGAATTATTTTCATTATTATATTTCCATACTTTTATAATGACTTTAAATCTGTAACATCACTGCTTTTCTTGCCTTCTTTTAATATAGTGTTAAAAATAACATGCATACGTTTTTTATCAAGTAAGCTGCTAACAGAAACTTCCTTCATGAGGCAAGATACACAGATTTACAGTTTTTATTTTGTGTGTGTGTGTTATATTCAAATGGTAGCTGGAACTGTATACTTTATTTCACTTGACTAGATGACCTGACTGTCTCATGGATCTGGGCACCACTGCTGCTGACCTAATGAGTGTTTGTGTCACATTTATGTAATAGATTCTTCTAGTTCTGAAGATGTAATTTGTTCTAAGACAGATTATTCTGATATATGATAAATACAGATAGTTTAGAAAGTGAGTGTAGAGAAGTAGAAAAGGAAAGAAGGAAAAAAGAAAGATAAGGAAAACCAAAGTGCAAGAATGCTGAGAACAAATGTTTCTTTTCCATACTCTTCCTACACATTTGGTTTCATTACTTTAAATTCTACACCTGAATTTAAATCAGTGCATGTTTAAGTCCTGTTTGTGTCTGGTACAGTAAAAGGAGCATCTGATAGTTTCAGAGCTTTCCATTCATTCAGATACTGTCCAGCTTCCTATTGAGATCCCAGTTAGTTAGGACTGCTCAGGTTTGATTGTGCCCCCGATCCACATTCAAGAAGGGAATTGCAGTTTGTTGGATCATAGTACCGGGCTGTATGCTATGTCACAGACTGTCTGTCTGTCTGTACTTCATAAATACAAAGTGAGAGGTAGTTGAAGTTGTTATCTTCTGATTTTGCCAACTGAAAATATTTTAAGTATGCTGTTTTTCGGCTGAGTGGGAGGATTTACTATGTCCTGCTACACTTGTGAAAATGCTGATTCTTTTTCCATAAAAACTGCTTATGTAGATGTTCATGATAACACTGTTGAAATGATGTCTTGCACAATGATGTCTGTTTCTATTTCTTGCAATAGAAACAACCTTTAACAGGAACAACATCAGTAAGAGAAGTGAAATATGTTTTTTTACACACTGTTTCCCATGCATTCAATTTGTAGTCAGTCATAAAACAGTGACATGTAGATATTTTTTGGCTTCAGGAGGTACTGCTTTCAGTCATAAAGGACACTATAGCTTTGGGGAAAGTCTGGGTTTTTTCTAGTATGTAACAATACTGTGCCTTTTATCCCCTTTCTATGCTCTTCCTGCCTTTAGTGCCTAGCTGTTGGATGGGTAAGTGTGTAAGAACAGCACCCTTTTCTTTTTATGTATCTGGATTATGAAAAATAAAACCTATATCCAGAATGTCATTAAATCTTATTTTTCCACCTTTTCTTTTGTCTGGCATTTTTTCTAAAAAATAGGAGCACTTGTAGCTTAACAGATCTGGAAATTGTCCCTGGGGAAACTGTTACACGTGATGGTGCCCCAAAGACAAGCACATCTCTTTTCTGTATGTGATACTTTCATGATACTGGACAGCACTAATGCTGCAAATGTGTATTTCTGTTACAAAAATATCATACTACATTTCAGAAAAGCAGTCTGCCATTTTTTGTTAACTGCTTAATTTATAGGAAAACTTAACCAAAAGATCATTATTTTGGGATAGATAATGCAGTGGATTATAGTTGCTGTCATCACATTTGATACTTGGAAAGGTACAGAGGTGAAACTATCTATTACATATATTGGAGGTGTACATTTATTTGAATAACTAGTGTTAAATTTTGAAGACACTGTTTTGTTAGATGTGTTCTTTAATTTTCCAAAGACTATTAGGTGCCCTTTTATCTTCCTAATGAAGTTTGTGCTGTGCCATACATCTAGAAGCCTTATTCAGTTGCACTTGCATGCCTGTATTTTGTGAATGTTATTGTAGCTTTAGGCTGTGTTAATATAATATAGTAAATACATCTTTCTGAATATGTTTATTTAGAGTTCTTAAAGCTGGAAAGGCAACCATATGTTCATGTGAAAATGCAGAGCACAATATAACTCATGTATTCATCAGTGGTAAAATTTCTCCTTTACAAAATAAAAAGTATCTCTCAGAAGCTCGATGCTACCCTTTGCAATATATAGGACATTACCTTTTTCAAGTAAGTAAACTAATTTATTGATTACTTTAAATAATGCAGTGTTAATAATGGAGGGGAATATAATCAGCCAGAGTGTTGTGTGATTTGATTAAAGTTAAGACAACTATCTGATTCTGGGACCATGTATCCAAAAGATAGAAAGGCTCATGAATATATACAAATACCTGAAGAGAGGATGCATAATAGACAGGTAGGTGGTTGTCTGTGGTGCCCAGTTGCAGGAAATTGAGTACAAATGTAAAGTCAGGAACCACTTGGGTTTTCTTGCTGTGAGGCTGATGGAACACTGTACCAGGTTGTCTGAAGAGGCTGTAGAGTCTCCAGGTGCCATATGGACATGGTCCTGTGCTAGTGCAGAGTTCACTAGAACCAAAATTTTGTTTTACTGTTTCCCTTAAGAGAGATGCCCCATGTTTCATACTTGTTTGCTTACCAGATGCACTGCTCAGAAGTTATTAGTATTTTGGTCTGTAACTATTCAAAGGCTTCAGAATATTCATTTAGATCTCAGACTCTGGGGTGACTTTAATCAACTGCTAATTGAAACTACTACCTTTATAAGCAAGTAGGAGCTAAAACTGTGTGTGTTGCCATTTGTAAATGCAAAGCACTTAGCTCTTTGTAGTAAAGGTATTACAGGAGGGTGAGAAGGTTGGAAGGTCTTAATGTTTACATTCTGAATAAAACACATCAGTGTGGGCTCCTACTCTAGTGCTTACTCTCTTAATGAAACTCGTTCAGGGAAGTTGCTCTCATTTAAACCTTTCAGCTAAGGTGAACATTTTCATAGATGAATTAATGTAAAAGCTTTATGGCTATGTCATCTTTTATTGATCTCTATCAAAATCATGTGTTTGTTGCTATGCACCTTGAATTCCTCCCAGGTGAGGTAGCAACTTTCCATCTTAACGAATCCATTAGCTTGCACATCTTTTTTTGCTTAGATTTCATTAAAGGAACTCACCTCAGAGACCAAGAGAACATTAGCTTTCTGTTTAAGTGAATCCGAAGAACTCAGGAAATAGCCAAGGCTCCTAGTCTCTTAAAAGGAAAAGAATAAAACATAGGCAGTCAAATTGCAGCCCTTGTCCAGATATATTAAGCTTTATCAAAGAATGTTATGGACATGCTCTTTTCTCTTTGTCCCAGAAGTACTTGACGTGTTATTCATTAGATTGTTCCAACATCATGCTATCTGACTGCTACTTCTAGCAAATATAAATCTCAGTCCTCCCCTAAACATCCATATATGTGTCTAGATGATGGATTTAGCAAAATAACATTATATTCTTTCCAGGGCAACTGAAACTCCACTGATGTTCAGAGTATTTTTGGTGTGATTTTTTTTTTTTAACTAAGTCTTTTCTTCATGTTTATATTTCAGTGTCTGTTCTTATTATCTTAACCTTGTACGTCTACTGTTAAAATACTGTGTGAGATTGTCATTGGTTATATGATGTTATAAGGCATCAAATTCATTGATTCAGGGTATTAAAACACATGCATGATTTTCTTTTAGGAAGCTAGTCTCATAATTAAACAGTGAATTTAAAAGCTTTTTTGGATGCATACTGGAGTTTCTAATTTTTTTACCAAGATTGTACTAGAAATTGTTTGAATGTAAGTGTTTTAATGAGTGTGTTGAAACTGACATGCATGAAGGGCCATAAGAAGTGAAGGCTAGTTAATGCATCAGTTCAGTTATCCATGCTCATCAAAAGCTATTTGGAACTCTATTCTAGTTACAAAAAAACTTCATTCTCTTTTGAAATGTGCAAGAGTTCTTGTTCTCAGTATTTGTTTAGAGATATGTTATGCATGTGTCAAATATGTTTGTATTGAACAATACATTTAAGGGAAAATCTGAAAAGAGGATAAGGCATGTAACTTGAAACTTTTTCATAAAAACATGGAATTATAAACTTATTGCACCTTATCATTGCATGCACTACTGTGTTTTTTCTTTACTGTTATCTCCCAGACTCAATTCACCCATCAGATTCAAGTGTTTGAATTATTAGGCAAGTTGCACCAAACCTTCCACACCTGCTCACAATAAGAAATGGCCAAGGCAATGTTTCACTTGTGTCTGTCTCATGATTCTTAACTCATCACACTGCAGGAGGAGGAGTCTGGTTTTGTTTATTGGCCTTAAACAAACATGGTGTTTTATTCTTAACCTGTGTATCTTTGATGAAAAGCATGCATTGAAACTCTTACTGAAATGTATGTTCTCAACTCATTCAGTAAATTCAAAATATTCTGTATAGTTATTTTTTTCAAGCAAAAGTTATTTTGTGGTGTTACTGAGAATAAGCAGTTGAGAGAAATTTGAGAAATGCTTCTTCATTCTCTGTGCTGAAGAAGTGGCTGAAAATGATAGGTGGACTCAAGAGAATTAATTACTATACAAACAGACAAAAATATCAAAGAAAAAAAAGACAGTAAAACATTTTAATTTACTTATTTTACATTTTTAATTTACATTTTAAATTACTAATTTGTTTCATGTTTATAGGCAAGAACTGAAAAGATTTCATTGTAGTGGTCTATTATATGAAAAGACAAATTGAAGAAGAAATGCCTTATAAAATCTTTACTATGTTTTGAACCAGTTGAAAATGTGTGAGCTCTGGTTTTAGTTTTTGAAAAGTTCTGAGAAAGAATCTGTTGTGGAGAAATAGTCCTTGTTTCAGCCACAGAGATTGTGACTTACCTGAAGTCAGTTAGGAAAAATAAATATGGGGAAGCTCACCCTTGATAATTTCTGTGCTGTAACTTTGTTCAACAACAGTGGTTTGTTTCCAAACCAGCAGCTCTTTATTTGACATATGATATGATGACATGAACATACAGTTTGCAGTACAATATATAGAAGCACATAAAAGTTGGTTTGACCATTAGCTTTGAAACAAAGTATTATTGTTTTGCTCTGCAGAATGAAATACAAAATCCCAAAGATACACAGATGAACCGTTTCCTCGCTCCACAAGAAACAGACCAAGTCTTGCCTAAAATGCAACTTGGTGAAATGAAAAATGTTATTATAAAACATATGTATTTTACTGCGGTAAGTAACAGTTGATACTTTGTTATAGCATTATATATTTTATATACATACAATTTAATATTTTTTATATTGCATGAATTATATTAAAAATCTCTATCTTTCATTATAGTATTGAGCTAATGAAGTAGATACTTGACATAACTTTTAACAGGCCTTTTAACCTGCAATATTTAATAATCCCATATTTATTACATCTACCAGTAGTTAAAATAAAACTTAGTCATGGCAATTCATTGGCATGGGTGTTTAGAAGACATAGTTTACTACTTAAAGCCTTGGTGTAATTGATGAGGTAAATAGTAGCAAATATTGTTGAACAAGATATCTTTGAATTACAGTCTTTCTGTAATTTTCCTGTTAGCTAGCTAACTTATGCTAAAACACTTTTCAAAACGTATTGTAGAGCCAATGTTTTGTTGACTGACATGAATGTTTTTTATTACAACTCAAAAGTGGAGCTAATGCATTCCTGTGATTTTCTGTTGTCACAGATCTAATCCTGATAAAATTGCTACATTAGTAGTTAACGGCTGTATTTCAAGTCAAGAGAAAGCAACTGAATACCTTGAGTTAAGATATATTATCTCTGTAAGCTACAGCGAATGCAGATGATGGTGTCGAAGTTTATTTGTAGGAGCTGTTTTATATGAAGCATTGTAAGTTTAGTAGCAGAAGAATTAAAAACTTTGAGGCCTCAAAAAGTACACACAGTGTTTAAACACAAGATTACAAATAGAAGACTCATGCTGGTTTGATCTGTGCATCATCATCACATGCCACATTTTTTATCAGTGACATTTTTTCAAGGCTACACCCCCCAGACATTTAAAAACTACATTTGTTCTTTTCATGTATTTTACATACAGCAAATGCTCTGGTTCAGACTATTATATAGCAGTGTGCCACTGGATTAACCCTTCAAAGACAGTCTCTCCTAAGTATATTTTAGTAAGGTGTTTTAGTAACATTGTAATACTATGCAATATCTAAATATGGCTATAATAGTAATACATTTTTGCACCTATGACCTATATTTTTGCATGCAAGAGGAATCCATAGTTGGCATTTTGCCACAGAAAAACTGAAAATTTTTAGTTTATTAATGTCTAATCTAGGAACACTGTCCTTACAGAGCAACCACATAACAACAAAGAGACAAGGGAAGGGGAAAATGGGAAGGAAAATTTGGCTATATTTAATTCCTTTTAAGTCATTAGTCCCCTATTTCATAGTTTACCCGTCCAAATGAAAAATCTAAAAAGACCAATCTAAATGTTAGGTTATGCTTGAAATACATTTAACAGAAGCTGTCATTTGGGAAGTATCATACACTATTTATTGAATATATTGACTGGTGTCCAGTGTGCAGCTTGACTTTATTCTGTTTTACAGACTATTAAGCACAGACTTATGCAAACAAACCAGCTGAACAAATGCAATCCAGAGGTAAGAATTATTAAAAAATAGGGCATGTTATGCATATGGAATTTTATTACAAAGTTAGGCAAACATACTTTAAGCAAAACTAGTTATCAAAAATATTTTTAGATTTTGGCTATCCTAAACTCTGATAAAGTTATTGTTGCATTAAAGAGCATCATTTAGTCTTGAATGTTGTTTGTTCCTGTGATACTTTTAGTACAGTCTCTGTTATTACAAAGAAACTGCTTAATGCTGCTAGTTAAGAGAACCTTACTTATTAATGTTAGGAAGTCAAAAAGGAAAGATGTCCTAATGTGATTTAGAGCATCATAAATTACTCAAGCACTGTATTTATGCAGTAAAATAAAGAGAGAGTACACAATTTTTAGCACTGCTTTTTCTAGTAGGGACAGATATTAGCTAGAGGTTATCTCACTGTAAAAAGAAACAGTACTTGTTCTTTCAGCACATGCCTGATATTCCATCATGTGAAATTCCAGAGTCAGCTGAAGCACAGATTGCAACTAGAATGCTTTATATTTTCCAGTCCTGTTTTCATAGTCACTTTGACTTAATTCCTTTTTTTGTACTGTACTCTCTTTTTTATTTCCCTTAAGCCAAATAAATGCTGTAAAACAGGTCAGCAATAGATTCTATTAAGTCTTTGTTATAAATACCTGAAGTAAATAAGTACTTTTAAAATTTTGCCTTGTCTATCTATAATACTAAGAATAAATCTATAAATAATGTTGAAACATTGCCTCTTTAGTACTCAAAAAGCAATTTATACAGTGGCCATGAGCTACTAGTAGTGCATTTTATATGGTAACTTATGTTGCTTAAAAGTTAAAAAGGGAAACACTTAAAGTATGTGTTATCTTCCTGTATTCCTTGGTAACTGAAGATCTGGTATCTTCATGAGCCATTCTACATAAATAGTTACTTGAAACCAGTCTTTTTCTGATTTTTTTCTATTGACAATAAGGAAGGAAGGAGAAAAAAATTTTTTTGAAAACATGAGGAGTAAAATACTTTTGTCATGGTCCAACACCATCACTGATCTGTAAAGTGCTATGTGTGTTTCTGTTCTGCAAGAGGTTTGCATTGAAATTTAATCTTAGTGTGTAGTTTATTGAATTAATTGGATTAAAAATTACCTCTCTTAACACATGTAAGCTGAAATTGATTTTCTGTACTCTTAAGAATAATATCATTTTTTGCTTGGAAATTTTAAGCCTAATACTTCTCTTACTGTTCTGTCACTTTTATTGCTTTATGCAATATCCATTGCTAGCCTTTATATACTATGTGTCTTCTATTGTAAGTATATTTATGACTTTTAGAAGCAGCTCCAGTAAACATTTCCAATAATACTAATGAAGTAAAATCAAACCTACAAACTAAATTAACATGTTAGATATGCCTATTGTATTTTGTCATATCAGTTTGCATCTGCTAGGAAGGCTTATCACAGCTAAGTGTTCTGTTCCATCGTCATCCCAAAAATATTTATTTCTCTTTTATCAGTTTTCATATTTTGTCAGTTGTCGTATTTAATTTGTTTCTGCTCAAAGTGCTAATGATTGCACCAGCAGTGCTTCACAAGAAACTCTGATTCCTCATCAGAGTGCAGGCCAGTGAAGCTTGGACAGCTTATTAAGTCTCTTCAATAATAGGTCTCCTGATACTGACAAAAGTTTATTGCCTCAGTTTTGTATCATCCTTCTTTACCTCTTAGAAATGTGATGAACCAGTCTCTAGTTTCTCTTTGATTTGAATGCTATGCAAAATGTACCTCAGTCTTCCCAAAACATCTTTATTTCAGTGTATTTTCAAAATAGTGCACCAATGGTACTGTTTCTTCCAGTACAGAATTTTCAGTAAATAAATGTTTCAGTCACAATATATAAAGCTGGATCCTAGTGTGATCACCAAGTGAAGGTCAGTGGTAACATGCTTGCACACACCCAAATACAGTCTTACATCCTAAATCCAGGTGGCCAAGTTGTTCTTCTTTAACTGTCATTAAACAGTTCACAATTGCTCTTTAGATGTGCTGTTTGCATGTAATTAACATTACAAAAGTATGAATGCAACCTTTATTTCCAAAGGAAATTTTAGTGGAGATTTTAATAGTTAATATATGAATGAGAAGATTGAAATAAATGTGAGTTGCAAACACCAGATGCACAAAGACTTGATTAAAAGAAAATTGTCTACATGAGTAGCTTTATTTATTGTTAATGTAACAATGGCTTACATTAGGAACCTGAGATACGAGACATTTGCAAGACACAAAATATCTAATGCTAAAGTGGAGTTTATTCACTGAGATTTTAGTTTATTCACTGTGATTTAACCATGATTATAATTTCTTTCTGAATTTTTTTCATGTTTGAACAGAGCTCCTAGTGTTTTTTATCTTATTACTGGAACATTTTTGGTAGCTATCTAATAACAGTATATTCTTTAGACTTCTAATCCACAGCTGGACTCAAAATCTCTGTCAATTTAAAATATAAACTAATACTAAAACAATTAGTAAGAGATTTAGATTGGATAGTAGGAAAATTTCTCCCTGCAAAGGGTTGTCCAGCTCTGGAAAAGTCTTCCCAGAGCAGTAATGGAGTCATCATCCTGTAGGGATTTAGAAGATGAGTACAAGTGGCACTTACGGACATGGTTTAGTGGTGGGCTTGGTAGTGCTGTTAATAGTTGGACTCAGTGTTCTTATAACAATTCTATCTGAACTGTTCTATTAATGCACATTAGGAGACAGGATTTTTGGCTGAGATCATAAAATCTACAAGTTACCAGAGACTAAAGCAACAATAAATTTATGTAACTCTTTAATTCCCAGCAGCCCAATCAGTCTGACCCAGCTTTTCTCAGCTGTGCCTCTTATCTCAGAATTAGGAGAAATTTGAGTTTACCAGAGCCTCAGGCTGTATGGTCAGACAAAAAAGCTCTATTTCAAAAGAGCAGTTACGTGGCAGAAGAAAGTCGTGCTTCACTCAGCAGTACAGTTGCAATTTGCTTAGGCATCAGCTTTGGCTTGAATCTGAACTAGAGGAAAGATATAAATAGCAATGTACCTGAGACCTTCAGTAGCTCATTAGTGTCATTAATTCGTGATCTTTGGAGAGCTGAAAGTACAGATAGAAACAGGGAAATTGCAGAGTGAATACAGCATCTCATGGAAGCTATTGCATCTGTCTGGGTTCTCCTAAAGCTGTTAGGAGTTTTGCTGTCATGAGTGTCAGAGTATAAGATGGAAGTCCTGTGCCATTAAGATTTTCTTGACTGGAAGGACTCCTTCTGCTTGGAAATGAGAGTCCCTTTCCCCCTGCCCTGGCAGGGATGTAAGGTGGTATAGAATAACCTCCATGTCTCAGTCGCGTCCCCTGTGGCTACTGCAAGAATAAGTTCTGTCCTATCAGGAACCAGGATATGTAATACCAACTTTTTAGTTAGGGATATCCTGTGTTAGTTAACTTGGTTGGTTAAAAGGTTTTTTTAATGTAAGCTTTTTTTTTTTTTTTTTTTTTTTTTCCCCCCACAATGATATCTCATTTCTAGGTTAAAAGTACTGGCTGGTCCAGGGGCACTTGGTCTATACTTCAAGGACTAGTGGAAGAGGACTTACTTCAGGATGTAGTCACAGAACTTGCTGCCGGCCAAATGTACAGTGCACCTCCTGTGCAACTTCTTCATCCTCTTCTAAAATATGTCCTATTGGTGAGAGATGAAGACTAAAGTAGTATTAAAAATAAAAGAAATAAGTGGAAGTATTATGATCTTTGCTTCTGACATAGTATTTAGAAGTTCTTAGTGATCCATTCACCCTTCTTTTTGTGCTCATCAATGTGGTTGTAAAAATAAGAAAGGATTTTAAAAAGGGTTTTTTCAAATTAGTATTTATTTGCAAGTCAAATGAATGTAATGCTCTAAATATTGTGGAAGGCTTGGCCAGAAATATTTTTTGTTACTTTTAGAAACAGCACTATGCTGGTACGCTACGGATAGAGAGATCGATTGAGAACAAGGTTTGCTCTAAACAGTGGTGCATTCAACTAGCATATCACACTAGAGCAAGTTCTCCCTTTTCTCTTCCCTATTTTTTTTAAATTTCACTGTGTATTTTTCTCCTTGGAGTTGTGCATTAAATCGCATGTTATTTTAGTGATTAAATGTGGTCACTTGAGATTGTAAAGATTAAAGAGAATAAATTAACTGTTAGTGAATATAGATAGAGATCTTTGACTGGCCTGGAGCCAATATTATTTTCTCATTTTTTTTACAGGGAAACACTGATACAATATTTTTTGCCAAACTTTGTAATGTTTTTTACCTTGCTCTTCATTGTGAACCTCCCTGGAAGTCCCCATCGATGTTGAAGTATTACTTAGATCTCCTTCAGTGTCCTATCTGTAAGAAAGGTACATGGTCCTTGATAGAGATACTTGTAAGGTAAGGAAGATTAATGAGGTACCAAATGCAATAGTTATGTTACTCCAAACCCAAGGAAGCAGAGGAGAGAGGGCATTCTATTGCAACGACATGCTGTTTTACAACAGAACATGTTACCAGTATGTGACAGTCTAGAATTGTAACAGATTTGGTCATTTCACATTTCATCACAGGCAGATGAAATTTTTTGAAAGAAAAATAAGTACATTTTCTTAGCTTTGCTAGTTTTTTAAAAATTATTTCTTACGCTCTTTACAGAGTATAGTAATCTGTATACTCTTGCTGCTGCTGTGTGTATACATATAAACATATGCACACACATATATCTGCAGTTACAAAGCAAACTCAAGGCTTATCTTACCAAATGTGAAGTTTCATGTTTGATTTTAAATATAACCTTTACCATCTTTTTCAAGATGTCTGATTTTATCTTGTCTACATCTACAAAGACAAGTTTGGATAGTTAGTCTCTGCTTTATCATGAGAACTTACTTTTTGTAATTTACATCAACAGAAATTAATTCTTCATTTGGAAAAGTAACTACAGCTCTTCTTGTGGCTATGATAAAACCTCACGTAATATTTAAATACTTTGATACAATTATGATTACAGATGTGTGAATGTGTGTGATTGTAAGCATATTTTGAAGAACATGAAAGAGAATTTGTCTTTTAGATGAAAAATTTTGTCTTGTAGTACTTCCTGGAGAATGGGAATACCCAGGAGTTGTATACCTGGTTCTAGTACTCAAAATTTTGGACAAAAATTGTGTTTGCATGTTACTTCAGAATTATCTGCGTCATGTTTGACAATCTGTAGTTGTGTCAAGTAGTATATATGAACTATTATCTGAACAGAAGGATGTTACCATGTCTACGAAATACTCCAAAATTATCTTGTATTTAAAGGATTTTAAATAAGTTATATTTAATATAGTAATTGTACAATATCTCAAGTAGAAACAGAAAAATGAAATCCAGTTAAATTATTTTGTTTACTCTATAATACAAAATCTTCACCTGGAACGCAGAAGCTCAGTCACAAACATGTTGTTGTCTGTTACTGGGGAGCAAACTATTTCCTAGTCAAAACAGACCAGATTCAAAGCTGACTTTTTTGCCTATAGATTATCTGTTATTTTTGTCATACAAATAGAATTTTTCATTTATTTTTTTTTTCAGGTCTTGCCTTTATTGTGAAACAGCTTGTCATATGGTCACAGTTTCAGGGACAGAAGATGAACTGAGGATAGTTCATAAAACATTATTGAAGTTTTTCTTTGATTTAGTAAAAGGTGAAGTAGAGTTTCTGACAAAAAGGTGGGATTTATAGAATAATATATGCACTCATTTATTTATAGCAGCTTGTATCCTGATTTGTATATATCCTTGATAAGATACTGTTCTAGAAAGCAGTTTAGCAATTCTATTTATATTTCTCAATTCTTAGCTTGTTTAATTGTAAATTCATAGGTTTTTTTATAATCATGTTTTAAGACATGTTTCTTTTTCCAGGTTGTTATTACAGGATGCATTTAATTTTGCTCTTTAAGTGGTAGTTCTAAATTTGCAGTACTTTGCTATTCATTCTTTAAGGTAGACAAGCAGCATTTTGAATATACTGATGTATATGTTTGATTTTTTAAAAAAATTCAATAACTATTATCTCTCTGTTATCTTAGGGAGACTATTACTTTTCCTTGGTTTATGAAGTATAAAAGAAGTCTAGGTTTTGCTTTGCCTTTCTATAGAAATGATGGCCTTTACTTTATGTAAATAGCGACACATTACTAGAATTCCCCAGGTCTAATAATAATAATAGTAATAGTCATCATCATTGTACTTACACTGTATCAGAAATTGTATCTGGTCCTTCCATAGTTAAAAATTGCCAAATCTGTGTGTATTTTGAATGAAGACAAGGTTTCTGTGTGGTAACTATAATAATCAAAGTGGCATAAAGCTTTAGGTTTTTTTCACTTTGTTTTTTTTCAGTTTGGTTGAAGGAACGAATTCACAGCATCAACAAGCCTTGCCACAGACAGTTCTTCTGAAGACATTCTTGCTTGAAAGTGGAACCGCAGTGCTTTTTACCAAACACATAAATATTCTAGCAGATTGGGTCATATTTTCCCATAGAGAATTAAATGGAAAAAATGATGTGAGTGTGAATTTTATACTTTAAAATAATGAAGACTGACATATATTTTTAAAGGCTTCCCTTTGTTCATTCTTTTGTGAGGAATTATATGTAAGTATAACAGCTGCTTGTTATAGCGGCCTTTTGTTGTGAAGCGTGCTGGTTTTTGCTCCACTAAAGAAATGAATTGATCCATAAGATTCTTATATAGATATGTAGAGAAGAAACGAGTCCTGAGTAGCTTGTTGGCTACATTCAGATGTTCACATGCCCTTACCAGCAGGTATTACTGTAGTTATTACAGACACCAGCTTGTTCTCTCAAACAATATGGTGTAGTGAAAGAAGTGATTATCTTATTTTACAGTGACAGGATTCAGGGAACGTTTGAAAGAGAAACCTAAAAAAACTAATACTTTTTTTTTGTTGTTTGCTAGGTATGCATTGTTTTATTGTAATAGAATGCCCTGGTTTTCTTTCTAAGTCTTTTAGTTTCATTTGGAATATTTCCTAGGACTTAGCATAAAAATGGAATTGAAGCAACTTAATTGCTATTCTGTGACCTGCTGACCAGCAGGACATTGACCTGAAAGATACTAAGTGTCCTCTATACCACCTATTTCTTTTCAGAAGCGAGAGGCCTTGTAAAACATCTTTGACTTCTAGATTCTCACATAAAATAAAACCTAACTGCTGTCTCTGCATTCTCTTTTAAATTATTGTGAGAGCACAGAATAAATAGGAACTCCATTCACTTTTTCCACACAGTAACAGAACAATAGAAAATCAAGTATTTCAGGGAGAAAAAAGCACTTTCAATATAATACCAAGTAGTTATTCATTATGCTATGAAAGCAAAAAGATTAAACATAATGAGAGCTTCAATCATCTTACCTAGCCAGACCTCCTACCTTTTTTGAGGGCTATCAAAGCAAGACATTGTGAAACAGTGCTGCTTTTTATCCTCGGTCAAGATATTTAAAACTGCCTAAAATCAGGCTTCTATACCCATATTTATATTTAAGCAACCTATCTTTTCAAAGGTACTGAGCAGCAAGCAGGCTTACATGCAGTCGGTGTCAGTAGCCATTCTGTTTCTTTGGAAAATGACACTGCTTTCATATTTTTCCTGGTTTTGAATCTGCAGTTGAAGTTGAGGTACCATTTAGGTTTTTTTGCTATGCCTTCCTTTTACAGGTTCCAGCACTGTAAGCCATGCCTTTCTCATGAACCTTTCTTTGCATTGGCAGAATAATCACTTCTGTCAGACTGTACTACATATATGAAAAATATAAGCTTATAAAATAAGCTTAATCTCCACACACAACATAAACCACAGAGATCTGCCTCTTGTTTAGATTCTATTTGCTCTATATACATATATATCAGAATTGTTGTTTCAGCACAAATCATGGATGTCTGTTGCTTTCTTACTTTGATCTTACACACTGTAGTGTAAACTATCCTACACAGATGAATTCTAGCCTTAAAAAGCAGCTTGTTGTCTCATAGTATTGGTAGTGTATTGTGTTTTTTTCTAACAGCTTTGTTCCTCATATTTATTTATTTATTGCACTTTCTTTCCCATTGCATTTTTGGCAAAAATAAATTCTAAACCAAAATACCATATTTTTTTAATCCAACTCATTTGTCCCTTCATTCACTCTCAATCTTGTAATACTAAAGCTTGATGTTTTTCTGTATTTTCAGACTAATTTTAGAATTCCATTACACAGTTTAAACTGTCTTTCAGAAAATCAGAAGAGTGAAACCTCCCTAGCTGTGCAGACAGAACTGTGTTTTCTCCTTCCTTTTTCTGTGATTTCATAGATACATAAATAAATACGCCGTATATCCATGTCATTAGAGGTAGCATGCAGGGTGCAAAATTGTCCTTCCTGTCTTCAGTTTGAGGGTGTGAGTCCTTGTTACCAGTTTTGTTTCATTAAAACTGTTTGTTTAAGAGGTAACACCTAGACAAGAGGCATGTAGGGCCATTCAGAAAGCTAAATGAAAGAAATTATTTTGGATATTGTTACTCTCTGCGTGTGGTTTGTGCTTTTGCACATTGCAGAGGGGTGATGGACCATATTTTTCAGTGCACCTAAGTGTGTTAGCTTGTGGGAAGAAAAAAACATCCATGTTTTGATATACCAAACTTCTGCACAGTTTTTCAGTGAAAATATCTTTAAGTGGAAACAGATGAATAATTTTAACTAAATTCTTTCTTTGAACAAATCTAATACAATATTTTCTAACTGGTAAAATTAGAAAGAGCAGTTATTAATTTTTTTAGCTTTTTAGGATCATTTTCTCTCTTTTTGTGATTCAAAGAGGTTGCAACAAAGAGCGCTGGAGTGCAGGGAAAATATCTGTGTATGTTTCCTCTCTTCTAGTGCTGACTTGCTGCAAAATTATGTATGTGTGTAAACATACCATGTAAAAAGAGCAGTCCAAAACAAAGTGAAAAACAAAGCATAAAGTTGAGTGCATTTGTTTTCTGGAGTTAGAATATGCTCTATTTTAGAAGTAGCTGAATAAAAATAGTGACAGGAAATTGGATGTCCTCACTGGGTTAACCTGTTTGGGCAACATAGTGGAATAATATTGATAGACTATTCTTGTAGTTAAAAAGGCGCTGCCAAAGAACCTAAAAGATTTCCTATTATTTGAGCTCATCAAATCAATTTTTAATATAATTCTAAAATGAATTAACATATATTGCTTGTTATATTACTTAAACAGGTTTGATGGGGGAGTTCCTGGTCAAAGTTCCTTGAATCGAATTTCTTAATTCAGTTTCAGATTTTACCAAGGAATGTGTATTTTGCTTATAACACTTCTAGTTGCATTGAGCTATTGCATGGTTTTTCACAATGCCACAGATGGTATCAGAAATGCTTTTCATCCCTGATAATACTGGTGAGGATTTTTTTAAAAAAAGCTGTCTTACATAGCCTGACAAAGAGGTGACAAAGGCATTCATTCAGGTTTTTTAGTTGCATAGTATAAATTTGTGTGGTGTAGAACCAAATGTCTTTCTGGTCTGTCACTTGCAGTAGTTTTTTTGGAAGTATGTTTTAGGCATTTGTGGAGTACTACATTTACAGCACATGAAAAAACCCTCTTCTTTAGAGTTCTAAAATAACTCAGTAATTCAAAGTTAAAAAGTTGAAATTAATTTTCCTATAAGAACTTTCATGTGTAAAAACACACTGTGAAACTTCTGCCACCGTAGCACTGTATTTGACTTGACAAAGCATTAAATGGAACCACAATGTGGGAATTGCATTTGCTAAGCTAACAGATATCAGTTGAAGTGATGTGACCTTTGTATGCTAACACAGTCAATAGCTTCTTCCCACTTCTATGCTTTTCTTAGTGAGATAGCTTTGATTTTCAACAATAAGAACAAGGAAGAGAATTTTGAAAAGAGGTTTCACTGCATATTACTTAATTAGCTGTACATGGTGTAGTGGGTCAATCTCAGCTGGCAGGTAAGTCCCCACCCTACATTGGGTTGAGGGAGAGAGTCAGAAGGACAAACTAAAAAATGCATGACATTATATAAAGACAGTTTAATAAGTGAAATAAATACTTAACCACCAGCAAAGCAAAATAAGGATTCCATTCAGTGCTTCCCATCAGCAGGCACATGTTCAGTCACTTTCTGGAAAGCAGGGCTTCATGAGACATGGCATTTGCTCGGCAAGGCAAACACCATCACTTCAGACATTCTCCCTTCCTCCTTAACCCAGCTTTTACTGCTGAGCACAGTGTTCAGAATGCCTTTGGTCATTTTGGGTCATCTGTCTCGGCTGATGCCCCTCCCAGCTTCTTGATCTAGGAGCAGAGTGGGGAAAAAGAGGTCTTGGCACTGTCATACATGGTAGCAAATTCCAAGTTTAATGGAAATGCTTGGGTTTTTTTTTTTCCTTTTTAATAGTACATATGTTTTCATTACTGTGTATTGTTTCGTGGTTGAAATTGAAAATACTTCTAACATGTTAACATTTAAACATTTTTAGAACATATGGTCCTTTCAGGAAATTAGGCGAATTTCCCTCTCTCTCATTTGTAGCATTGAACTATTTATTTTAAATACTGAGGAGAAGCTCTTGGTTTGCCCTACTATTCTTTTACAAAAATGCCAACCAAGCCTACACTAGTTGGCAGTATCTGGCTTATCTTGTCAGCATGCAGAGGTACTTGGCTGGGCAAATGTAGATGCAGCTAGAGTACCAGCTGCATTTAATATTCACTATATATCTGACTGTGAAAAATTATTAATACTTGCGATATTAACAGTCATTATTTTAGTCTGTTCTCTCAATGTCTGCTTTCACCCCCACCCTTTTTTTAAAAAGTATTTCATAAAGGAATTAGTTAAGGTAGTGATTTAGAAACCCTAAAGAGAATGTAAATACTTGTGTTTTACATCCCTGTCTACCTCGGATTACATCTATATGTCCTTGATCCTGTCACTTAACTTTTGTCAAAATAGTGCTTATTTACTGTGTTTGTGAAATTTATTTCCAGTAAAGAACTATTGGTGGAATGATATTATTCACCCAGTATTTAGCTTTGGGGTCCAGTGATAAGGAGATATACATGCTTAAGGGAAATTTAAATGCATTTCAGGTATTTTAAATTATTCTTCAGCTTCTGTTCCCAAATCCTCAGAAGATAGTGCAAATGCACCTTTTTAAATATTTAAACTTTCTTTTAAAAATTATACTTTCAGGTTTTTGACATGCCATATCTGTGTTCTCAGGGTTTTTTTCATTATGAGATTTCACAGTTCATCTATATTAAAGTATTATGACATAATAAAGGAAAGGGCAAACCAAATCAAGTAGAGTTTAAGAAAGTAGGAGGAAGTAGGCCTGCAAGGAGTCTCGGAGATGACGTTTGTAACAGACTTTGTCCGGCCAGTCTTAAAAATCTGGAGTGATGGAGATTATGCTTTCACCCCACACCGTGTTTATTTGTAGTTGTGTTCATTTATTTTCTTTTGAGTGACAAGTAATTGTTAACTATAGGGACAGTATTTGTGTAGTTTTCAACCAATTGCTTTATAATATTTTTATTATTATTTATGTCACCATCTCCACTGTTCATATTTACATCTGTTTGATATATTGATGCTCAAACTAGTTTTGGTGCTTTTCAGCTCCTAATGAATCCTAGTAAATTATTTTAAACCAACCTTGAACATACTTTGTTCTCAAAGGAGTATCAGACAAATCATTGACTGTAGTATGTACCCATTAAGTCTGGCTTGTCTCTTACCCAAAATTGTCCAGTTTCAGGCACTCATTATCTTTCACAAGATGCCATATGTCAACTGGTGCTCTAGTGTAACTAGTAAATCTGTGGTAGAGCCCTCAGTCAGATTAATTTCATGTGTTCCTACTATGGTGCCTGTGTTCTTTCAAGGTGTGCTCTCAAAACATCTGGTGGTACATGTGATCAGAGGAATAACTTATCTCAGAGTAACTTTTATAAAGTATTTCTGCTATGGCTCAGAAAAGTATGTAGATAGATGTGACCTTGCAAAGACTAATTCAAACATTAGAAACACTGCTTTACCTGACCAGTATTGATTAAATTCTCATATGGGTGAAAAATGCATTCATCTATCTCAATGAGGTGTCTGGATAGCTAAATTCCTTGTCTTGATGCCTCTTGAAGAAAGTACACTTCAGCTTTCTTTACTTGTTTATGACCATTTTCACAGGATCACTGAATAAGCAGAGCTGGAAGGGACCCATAAGGATACATATATATAGATATAGTCTCTCTCTCTCTCTCTCTCTCTCTCTCTTTGTTGGTTTTTTTGTGCATGTGTGTGTCTGCCTGTTCAAGGTAGAAAACTGTATAGCTAATATTCAGAAGGATGGCTTTTTTCCTAAATTTGCAGCTGCTCATCTTATTGAATTTTTTTGGTAGCTGAAGAAAGTTTCCCTTTGCAAAGTGACTGCCAAAATTTCTTCTGTGGAGGAAACTAACACTTTGCATACTTCTCCCTTTTGGCACAGACATACATAGTCACAAAAAGAGCTTTATTTCATGATGAAATCTTCAGAAAAAGGCAATACTAATAGAGTAGGGAGAAAAAGATCCTTGCAATTGTCAAATTAAACACAAGGTTCAGTGGAATAAGTGCAGTACTTGCAATCTTATGGTTAAACAAAATCTAATTTAAAAAGAAATCACATTGCAATTGTAAGTTTTGCCACCATTTTGCATATACTTGCAGATGATTTCATAGAACCTGGTTTTCTCCAGTGCCAAATCCTAATTGATATGGCATCAGTGACACTAATTTTGGTGATCTGGCTGCAATAGTTAGCTTTTAAGCAGAAGAAAGGCCAGTGAAGGAGTGACATGGCAGCAGAATGAGCTTTTATCTAAAAAAGTTTTCTATGTTATTTCGAGTATATTATCAGTCTGAATTTTTTATATATTACAGATCAGTAGATACACCTATGCCTTTTTCCATTTAGCCTTTCAGAAGTGAAGTTGCTGGTCTATTAAATGCAATTCTTGGAACTGTAGTGGACTGTTGGATCATCTCAGGTTTGCTTATGGACAGAAATGTGTTTCATCAAGTGCCTGATTTGGCGCATTACCTTGCCATTTCATCTGATGGTGAGTGTTTGCAAGGCCTCTCAAAATTCTTCTAATCAGATGCTAAGTCCTAATTAAAATCCTTGGTTTATAGTTTTTTACCCTGTTTTGCAGCTGTGCACTGCATGGTGTGTACATATGCAGGAAGCTATTTTATTTTGTGTATGTCTGTCGGTGGCAAGCAAAGATCAAATAGAACAGGTTTTCTTATTAAAATCCCTTTTAAATAAATGTCTAAATGTTGGTGTGGAAGCAAGACCACACAGTTTGAGGAAGAAAAAGTCTTTGGAGCTCTCTTGTCAGTCTAGGAGAAGTTTAAGCATATCATAATAAAACTTAAATTCAGACAGGCAATTGGAGGCACTTTACTTAGCTCAGGCAAATTTTATCATTCCAGAAAATGAATAGCTTGCTAAAGACACTTCAGTCATAAGTCTAAAACCTACAGTGAACTGTTTGACTCCTACAACTTCAATTGAAACATTTCAATGTCTCTTCCAAATCCTTGGACTTAATGGAGGGAATGGAAGAAAATTCCATTGAGTCCCATGAATTACTGTAGTTTCTCCTCATTAAATAGACTAGGTAAACAGAAACATCATGACTCAAATAGCCATTATCATTTAACATGGAATGTCAGTTGAAGTATCTGTACTTTTAGCTGCAAGGATTTGAGGAGCTTGCAAGACAAAATTATCTCAAGAAAGTATTGAATTATTTTAATTTAATTTTCAAAATTAATTCCCACCAAAGCTTCCCCTGACTCCTTTTCCAATCATCATTTTATGTGGTAACAGGTACATGTAAGCTTCATTTAAATTGTGTCTGCCTTCTACGTGGACACTCGGGAAGAACCATAATGAAAAGAAATTACACTAAAATCTTAATCTCTGGACAATTTGTTTCACTCCAGTTTTACAGAAAGCAAATTATGAGAACTTCTTTAGGCTGACTTAGTTCTTAGAAGGCCATTTCAGTTCGAACTTCATGGTGTTTAAATTAGTGGAGCTTTTAATATGTACCACTTCAATGGATTTTGTAGCCCTCATATAATAGGTAAAATCTTGGATAAGTATTTCTGTGAGACTTCATTAATTTCCTGTATACAAAAGGGAAAACAAGAATAGGATTCAGTCTGTTTATAGAGATTATTTGACCTATGCCACTTGGTACAATCCACAGCACTCAAAGCAAAATTATTGCGAGTTTTTCTAAATTCAGTTATACTTACAGTAGCAAACATCTGTATTCTCAAACTTGGGTTTCTCTTTTGCTTGAGTCTACAGATCAGTTAATTTATGAGCACTTCTTAGCAGAACAGAAGATTCCCCCAATACGGTAAAGATTTCCTTCCTCACTGCAGGTCTTACTTTCCAACCATTTCAGTTGTTAATTTGACAAAATTATTTTCTTAGAATCAAAATACAAATTCTTACCACTGTAAGAAAAAAAAAATCAGTCTTTCTGTCTTCTTTTCCAAAACAGAGGTAGGTCAGATGTATGCCTGATACCTACTGATGTGTGTTGTATGGATATGTAAGTTTCTCTGCCACTCTGTGGGGCATTTTTTTAAACAGTATAAGGAATTTGGTACATTTGAATGGGGTTGCTGTTTGCTTATGGTGACTTTTAATGTAGAGCTTGTAGGTCACCTGCATTATTTGCAGATTTCTTGTTCATGTGTTGTAACTCTTACCTGAATTTGTGTCTCTTCGAGTTTTAGAAGGTGATCACTTATAGAACTTCACAAAAAAAAAAATTTTATTCTCCAAATAAAGCCATAACTTTTATAACATTGTATTAAGAGCGTTTTAAAAAGTTTCACACAAAAAGTGATGCTTTGTCTTCTAAAATACGTTTAACATTCTCTCAGTATCTTGTCATCTTACCAGATGATGGTTAAAATCTATTTTCATGTGAAGAATTTTAGTAATTCTTGAGGAGAATAAATTTCTGAATCTGCAATAGGAGCAAAAAGCTTGGAAGATCTATCTTCTAGATAACTAGGTGTGTAGATTTCTGTATTTTCATTTTTAGGCTTACTTATTTTTTCTCCAATTGCTTTTATCCAGATTTTTCTGTATGTCAATTAAAAATGTTTCTTTGTGCCATACCATCCGACTGGCTTCAACTGTTTGTTGCCGAAGCAATTTTCAAGCAAATGTGTTTACATAGGAATATTACTGTTTCTACAGAACCTCTTTCTCTTCAGAAAATAGTAAGTAACTCCTTAAAAATGTATCACACTTCAGTATTTTACAAGTAATTTGATTCATAAAAGTCTTGAAATATATCTTTTCTTTGTGGTCTAAGGTCATGCTTGTTGCCTGCATTGTCTTTCCATGTGTTCCATACATTTAAATTTCCCTTTGCCTGAGATCTGGGTCCAGAACAATAGTAAGATTTTTCTTGCCAGAGGATTTGTCACACTTGGTATCTGTTTACGTGCAGTTATCATGAAAGTGAAAAAATGCAACAACAGTGAAAGCTTGTAAAAATAATCCCTGATACAATGATTGCAGTGTTACATTTGTACTTAAGGAGAATGCCAAATATAGTGTGATTTTTCTCAGCTACCTTTTCCTTCAGGGTTTTTGAAGAGATAGGTCCAGGCAATTGTTACATTGAAGATTTTCTCAGTGTATTCCCATGAAATTCTTCTCTTAGAAATTTTCTCCTACTCGCAAACCTTTGCCTGCCTTCAAATCACAATTTGAAGTGAGGAAAAATATGGTAAAAGCTGCAGAAGAAATTCATGACTGCTGTCAGGATGCAGGCAAATCAGGGCAATCACATGGTAATGTCATGCCCTAATTTAGAGTCTCATTTCAGTAATCTTCACACTAATGACTAAACAGAATATGGAATCCATAGCTGTTTGTCTGCATTCTACTATTCTACAGGTAGAGTCACAAAAACCCAAATTTATACCTTTGTACATTTCCCATACATAAGTTTTCCTAAATTTTTCAAGAATTTATTGTGAAGAGAGGTCATTGTTTCTTAATACAGCACATTTAAACAGAGGTTGAAGAAAAGACTGTCAGAATTCTTATCATAAACCAGCTGCATACTAATATTTGATGTATATTGCCTCATACAGGGCAGAATTGCTACTTTCAGTATCACCATGACTACTGATCACTCTCTGCAACTACTTAAATATTGTTACAGTGCTTGAAACAAGTCTATGTGCTTTTTGTTGTTTTCCTTAGTATGACTAAGTCTTCTTTCTCATTCCATACAGTAAAAACTTTTCAGTTTTTCCAGTTCTTCTCATACAGCATCTTATCTGCTTGGCTTTTCTCTGAGTTCAACAGCTCCCTAGTGGTAAATATACAGCGAAGGTGCAAGTAAGGTGTTCCTCACCTACTGTACATTTCTTGCAAGATCTACAGTGAACTGCTAAATACTCAAAGCCTTCCTTAATATCTTTCTTCAAATATAATCGTTGAGTGTTTGATGAATCCCTCTCACTGGCCTTTTTTTCTTATGCTTTTGCCAAACTGTAGAAACTTAGATGACTTTTTAAAATGACCGGGGTAAGTGGATTTGAAGCTCTGTGTTACTGGAAAGAAGCTAACACCTGCAACAGCCAAGGCTGTCCTAATAGAGATCACCTGAGGGATAACTGGCTTACTGCCTTTGCGATGCTCAAAGACTTAATCCAACCCCTCATCTCAGAAGAGATGAAGGAGTGGAGTGAGTCTGTCTTTAACCAAATTGCTCCCTGGGAGCAGGAAGTCTGTAACTACTTTGTTTTAATACATGAAAGTCAGTTTACTGTACTCAAGTCTTATATCCAGCTAAAGAGATCCAGGTTTTCTCAGCTGCCAGAAACCTGAGAGAGGCCTAGAACTTCCCATTTTCTTTCTGAGACACAAGCCACTCACTGAGGCCAGTGTAAAGAGTGAATTACAAAAACGTCGAAAAGGAATGCAAAAGACAAACTGAAACAATCTAGATGTACAATCATTCAGGGATCAGATTTTAAAAAACATATATACATCAAGAATATAGATGGATACATGTGGATAAAGATGACTGCTTTGCAGCAAGAGTAACAAAAGAAAATTTCTGCATTTATAAAATGTTACTTTTGCAACAGGTCTGTTCCTATTCACCTGCTTTGCGAGAGATAGGGATGCGTGAGACAGAGGAACACAAAGCAAAGAAAAAGAAAATAGGGCAACAGCCATGCCCTGAGTCTCAAAGGACATTACAGATGCTAAATGGCGATAAGCAGAACCAAGTCAAAGTGCTGCCTGATCTACCGTAAGTAATACCTATAACATCACCAGTTTTATTCTGCTTTGGGGGACAGCTTCTGACCTGACACATTTCTTGAACTTTATGTGACCTGTTTTGTTGTCTACAAATTACTTCAACTGACAGAAAGCTCCACTGTAAGCCCATAACACCTTTGGGCTGGGGTTTCCCCTTTTCTCTTTGATCAGCAATTTCAGTGTATATGCAGACTGATGTAGTTTTATTTGCCTAGTATTAAATTTACAGGGTATATACAGAAGTTCATTGTTCATGGAATTACATTTAAAAAGAGTTTAAAAGTGGACAATCCTATTTGATTTTTATTTTAAATACGGTTATAATTAAATGTCACAAAACTTGCGTAATTAAGACATTTCCAATATGATGCTGAAATGGCTAAATCTAAGTATCGTTTAGGTACACATTTAAAACCATTAAGTACACATACATTAAGTATGAAATACTGATTTTAAATGTGTCCCCTTTGGTTTCTTTTCAGTGACTTAATCTTTAATAAACTTAGAGCAAAAACAGAAGTCCAGACTGCACAGACCAAAGGGAGTTCTTTTTTGGCTGAAGAGGTACACAAGAGAAATATTAAAGGTATTCTACATATCTAATTTATGTTAAGAAGTTTAAAGTGGTTAGAATTTATAGCTTCATGTTTAAAAACTTATCCTGATGAATGCTGGCCCAAGAATTATTTTCTTATGGTCCACATTTCTCTTTTACAATGTCTGTTTAAAAGGAGCAATTTGTATATATGTTAAAATAAAGTTGCCTTTTTCATTACCCTCCTCCTTCCATACATTAAATACAGTGTACAGTTTGTGTGAGCTCATTCCAGTCATGCCTGCCTTACTTTGCTAATCCACCTCAACCTGTGCTTGGTAGGATCAACGTCTTCTGATTTGCAAGTATAATTCAGTCTTCATCTCTCTGAGTCCTAGACATTTTGTGAACAAAGACTGAGGAGTATGCTATGTTACATAGCTGTTTTAAGCATATGGACTGTTTTCTTCCAGGCATTCAGCCCAAGCTATGAAATGCACTTGGCTTTTGTTTTAACTATACTGGAACTCATGTACCTAAGGAATAAAGCAGCACTGCAGTAATTAATTCAGTTCCTATTTACTATACAAGTTTAATAATTGTACTTTGCATGAGGCTTGCTTTACTACAGAATTGCTTGCTGAAACTACTTTTTCATCTTCATCATCAGAAATTTACCTACAACTCTATTAATATGACACCCAGGAGAAAAAAAACTGGCAAAAGCAAGCTGGAGTTGTTAAAAAAATTAAAAACAGAATTATATCACAAACAAAAGAAGACCTCACCCCCTTAAAGGTTTAAAAAAACTTCAGCAACAGAGTCAGACCATACATTTTTAAAATTCGTTCCCTTTGTTTTTATTGCTTTTGCAAGTAAAATTGATGTGAATTATTACATCTGATTTCTGCAAAGAGAAGTGAGCTGAAAGACTTGGTGGTGGGGGGGCGGAGGGAAGTGGAACCAAACGAACCAATCCTGCTTTTTGTTCTAGTCACCCCTGCTGAAATTATAAGTAGTGTCTTCTGTTGAAAGAATGGGCTGGCAGATTTATATAGTAAAGGTATTAAAATAACAAAATGTTCCATGTAAATTTACCTTAGGGTAGATCTCTTAGCTTTTAAAGTATCTTGAATTTCTAAGATGTTTGGTTCATCATCTTTACCTGGTATCAGGATTTTCCTCTGGCTCTTGTTCAGAGCTAATCAATTATGGAAAAGAAAACAGCATTTAGAATGTGTCTGAAGTTTTTATTGCACAGAAGCTAGTGGTGTCTTTACATACATAAGCAGCAGCTCTCAGTTGTTTGCCGTTTAATTTTTCACACTTATTTCAGCTGTACATGGTACTACGGTTTGGGATTTTTTTTTTCCCCCAGGGTCTACTACTAGTAATAATTTTATTATTATTAATATTGATATTATTATTAATTTCCCTCTTTCTCCCCTCCTTCTTTACTGTAGCCAAGTCAGAGAGTCTATTGAGAAACAGAAAACCATCTGCTAATAGATCTGAAGTTTTGATTTATACTTGAGTGTGTAGAGGCACTTGTGCTTAGCCAGAAACATTCATTTGAATTAAGCTATAAACGCTGTGTGAAAAGAACCATACATCTTAATGTAGGTTCATGAATAAATTTAAGGGAGGGCAACTGCACTCTAAAGTTTTACTGCTTCAAAACCCAGTATTTTTTGGTGTTTTGTGATCACTTGGTGCTTTTATAGTGTGATTGAAGCTTTAAACCTTGAACTAGAGGGGAGATAATTCCTGTGTTAAACCATTTGCAGTACAATTTCATTGCTGGATCTCTGGTGGAACAGAAGCTCCGTGGGGTTTTTTTTCTTTTAAGATGTTTAAAAAGGATAAAGGAAAATCGTACTCATTATTGAGTTTTCTGGTACATAACCAGGTCTCCTAGTTCCAGACCCTTTGATTATTTTCTTTAGTTGCTATCTTGTCTAGTCTAGTGTAATCTATTAATTTTTTATGGTAGGAGAGACAGCCCTGCATAAAGCTTGCAGAAATAACAAAGTGGAGAGATTGATTCAGCTTCTCTCTTTGCCGGGAATAGACATTAATGTTAAAGGTAAGTTATTCATTTTCTCTACAAAATTAAGAAATTAAGACGCGTAAAGAACTATATTAGTATCTGTTTGGTAACAGGTTTTTATACAATCTGAAGCTCTTTCTTTTTTAAATAACACAAAGTGAGGACTTTACAGCAAACATTAAGGTAAGATGGATTTAATACTGAAGTGTATTTTAACATCACATTTTCTACTGATTCTTAAAAATGCTATTTTTTTCAGATGTTTTTTCAATAGAATTTCTTGTTTTGAAATCACAAGCTGCCATTCCAGCTGTAATGAGTACTAGAAAAGTAAAGTGTTTTCCTGTCTAATGAATGACATTATTAACATTTCAGTACTACTTCTGCTGTTTTAAAACTTCCCTTGATTTATAATTCAGATTATGCTGGCTGGACGCCTTTGCATGAAGCCTGTAACCATGGTAGCACAGTGTGTGTCCGTGAAATTCTGGAGCGTTGTCCAGAGGTAGACCTGCTCAGTCAAGTGGATGGGGTGACTCCTTTGCATGATGCACTGTCAAATGGACATGTAGAAATTGGCAAGCTGCTACTTCAGCATGGGGGTGAGTGCATTTATGCTAAACTAGTTTAGGGAAATTACCTTCTGTTCTGAATCCATATGAAGTTCTCAGTGTTTTTCTTGATAGTTTTCTAAAATACAAAGTTATTATGAAATATTTTAGAACTTTTTAAGCCTAGCTGGTTTGTTTACAGTAAAAATAATACTATTTTCACACTTCCCTTGATCAGCTGAATATGAAATTAACCAGAATTTCCACATGTTTTTCTAATATGTTAGTGTTTTTTATCCTGTATTTTACACCATATGCATTGCAACTATATTCTCCACTAATGAAAATAGAGATTACCTAGTCACCAATCAAGGCAAAGTATTTTCTATTGTTTTGATCTATTTTTACCACAACACAAACCCAGATTGGCTAAATCTCTCTATATTCATATATTTCAACATAATTTTTTTCAGCATTTGTGAAAATTGATGTGATGGTCTCTGAATACTGTTAGTTGAAGAAAGTAATTGATATTGTAATCATGATAACTTCTGTTTAGGGATAATAGTGAGAGAGATGCCTTAGTTTCTTAAAAAAGTACTTTGCCCCTTAGGCAAGCACACAATGTTTTAAACAATACTTTTTGTTCAGATTTGTATCTTGAAGTATGTACTGTACCAATGTATTTAATTTAGCATGTTTTAAAAAAAACCCAAATATCCACAGAGAATCATCTTGGATAGCAACTCTTCCTTATTTAAATTAATTTACTAAAATGAGTATTTGAAATATTTGTACCATTGCCCTACTGTGTCACTGTAAACTGTGTTTTATGTGCCGAACCCAGATTTTTTCAGTGAAAATCATTCTGTGCTTAGTCATGAGGCAGAAGAGTGTATTTAGGCAGCCTATTAATTAAGGTAGAGAAACTAAATTTTAATAGATTCTTGCCATATGACCCTCTGTATTTACAGTCTTCTCCTGCCCCCTAAAGGCTGTGTCTGTGTCTGTTGTGCAAGCACCAGATCATAATCAATACATTCCTTCTGCAGTTCTGTCTCTGTTTACTGAGTCTCAGTTCTGTAGCTCCCAGGTGTTTTATATCTCTACTGTGCCATGTCACCTTGGCATCTAACATGCCCAACCAATACCTGGGCTCACATCAATCAGCTAAAGTGATGCAATGGCAAATATTATAGTAAGCCCAGCTCCCCAACTGGAAAAGGCATTGCACTAACAGATGTGCATTTTTCCTAGGCTGTTGTGAAGAACAGGTAGTGGATGGTCTTGTTATCGTAGGGGAAGAGCTTTACTTGCACTTGCATTCATCAAGGTTTTCTGGCAAGTGTAAGGCTGTGTGTGCCTTTGTCACATTCTGAGTTATGGCCTGTCAAGTAACTGACAGGCCCATGGTAGAAGGCATGTTAACTATTCGGTGTGAATTTACTTAGCTCAATAATTTAGAACACAGAAGTTAATGATCACTAATAATAATGATAATGATAATACAGCTTTAATCTGAGCAAAATTAAAATATCTATTACTGATACAAAATGTGGGAGTTCACCTTTTGTCATTAAAATGTATTTCTGAAGAGGCATTCATGTTAATATGGTATCATTACTTTAGCATAGTAATACAAATTTATATAAGATTCCTGATGTGTTCCTATTTGAAAAACACTTGTAGTAACTTAACAGCCTTCATTTTTTCTTACTGATGCATCCTTTCTTAAACTTCCCAAGAGATGTGTAAGCTCTTTAAATATTAATAGGTCCCTTGTACTAATAAACAGGAAATACTAAAAGGATTTATTTGTTCAGACTAGCTCTGAACAAATAAACATTTCCTATTTACTTACTTTAAATCTATTTATTAGAGTAATTATGTTTTGTGTTCCAGAAATCTTTTAAGATCAAATTTTTAAACTCAGTTGTTGGGGAAGGTTTGGATTCCTAGCCCAATAGTTTACCTTGCTGTACAGCATAAGGCAAGATTGGCCACACCATCCAGAAAAGTAAAATAAAGACCATCATAGTACCATGCCTTTAATTTGAAGTCAATGTCAGCAAATAACCTAGTCTACAAAGTACCTAATAGAATTTTACAAAAGTAATAACATTCTATTTTTGCATACTCAATGCGAGTTAAGACAATACTGTAAAGAAATTGTTACAAAGGGTCTCTGCAGGTTCTATCTTGTGTTGCAAATGTGTAAGTCATCAGTTACATTAACATAACTTGGTAAAAAAAAGGAACTTAAACACCTGGCTTCTGACAGTAAGCAACCCAAAAATCTTGTTCAGCTGCCAATTCATTACAAAATGTGCTCTTGTTAATAATGTTTGTGTTTTTCCTGAAGGGCCAGTCCTTCTAGAGCAAAGGAACTCCCATGAGAAACTGCCACTGGATTATGTTGAGTCAGTCACAGCAAAGGAAGAACTTCTGAATATTGTTTATCCAGGAGAGAGCATTGAAAACTTCTATGAATGCAGAGAACAAGATTTTAGTAATCAGAAGAAAGAACTGTGTTTGATTTCATTTATTAAGATGCTGATTAATTTTTGTTCTCTTTATAATTTGTCTACACCCCTGACTGTAACTCTGCGAGCAATAGGTTGTTCAAATATACTTCCAGTAATGGTTTGTGATACTTCTAAGATGAAAAATGCATTTTCTGGACATTGGTTGGTAGATATGTATTTTAAAGAGCTGGAAACTTTTGGAAAACTACCACAGCTTCTTCAAGAAATATCTGAAAGTATGTTATTCTTCCCTGGTGAACAGGCGAGGGCCTTATTAGCAGTTCTGGAAACTATGGTAGAAGCATGTCAGTTCCTAAATCCTTCTAGCAGTTAAATTCCAAACAACCACATTGGCTGAATCTTGAGTGTTACTACCTTCTACTTGCCTGACAAATCTGGATGTGTGTGATCTTAGAAATGTGCTATATCATTTACACTCTGTTAAACTGTCTTGCAAGTATTTTTTTTTTATGTGCCTTGTGCCATATTTCTCTTTGGTTTTCAGAGGCAGCGACCCTAAACTTAAACCAAGCAGTTGATTTTTATTTCAAGGGAATAAAAATCCTGGGAAAGGCTTGTGCCTATGTATTTTGTTATCCCTTAATAAAGCTAATGTTATAAATATGTCTTTAAATAAAAACATACAGAAATGCAAAGTCCTTCTATCCATTTTTGTTATACTTAACAAAAAATAAATTATATTATGTAAATTAATTGCATGTTGCAAAATTCAACAGAGAAGGCACTATATATTTATAGAATGAATATTTAACATTTCCCATGTCTTTGATAGAATGCTCACACAAAGACGTGGAAAATGTTGTTCCTCATCAGCACTATGTTGCTTGTAGTCGCATTTATTTGTGCAGTGGGCAAGTGAAGGAGAATGGCTCGGACACTTGGGTGATATGCAAAATTGCAGTGCGTACCACTTGCTGCTTCCCAGGTCAATGATGCTTTGAAGAACTGAATTCACCTTCAGCAATACTTAAGGCTGTCCTTGGCTCTGCTCCAAATCGTACTGGCTTGCAGTGATTTGATAAACCCATTACTCTGGCATGTTATGATCTGATATCACTCCTGGGACTATCTCAAAGGAAGATGCAGGTGGAAGCAGTGGCAGAAATCTAGTTACGTTGGCAGAGGAATTTACAAAGGATAGAACAAGAATTTAAGTATATACTGGACATCATACTCTGAAAGTAAGAATGGATATCCTTAAAAATTATGCCCCACTTAATATGAAACTTTCATTCTCCATTCTCTGAGTACATGCAAACTATACATGATAAACCCTCTAAACTAATGCCCTAACCTAACCGTTTAGGATTGCATGCTACATATTTTAAATTTTTAAGAAAAAGAGAAATTCCCATGCTGCTCTTTAAAAGGTATTGAAGGCAAGGCAGCTGAATTACCTGCTTGTTCTTAGGGGTTTGGGGTTGTAGAAAAGTCACATCTTTTGGGGAGCCCTTACTGCTCATTTATACAAAAACAACTACAGTTCCTGTCCTGCATCTTTGTAGAGATCTAAGTAATTCCATACTAGATCTGGAACAGGGACACTCAAACAGAAGTTTATTCCTTTCCCTTTCAAGCAAAGAGAAATAAGAGCTGTTTTAGAGTGAGGACATGTGATTTATTTTTTTCTAACAGATTCAGTAATAGATTACTTAGAAACTTAGCCTTTAAAAGGTAGGTAGGAATAAGCAACATTCCAAATTCCAGTTCTTCTGTAATAGCCATTTATAATATTTTTTTTAAAAAGAATAAAAAAAAGAATGGGTGTGGAGTAGGAGCTGCTTAAGTAACTAATCTTGCTAGACTAGAAGGATTAAATTCCATTAATGCATCTGGCATGTGGCACATTAAAATTTCCATTTAGCCTTTCTGCAGCTGAGATATATGATCTTACAGCAATCCACACAAGACGCTCAAACCAAGCTGACTTTGGAACCAGACCTTCCTTACAAATGTTCCATGCTTATTAATGACCTACTATTATTTTTATACATGCAGGCAGAACAACCTGCTCTAAGAGAATAAAGCGTCAGTGCATGTTGGATTTGTTTCTGTTTGTACACTTTTAATTTTTCTCAAGTAAGAAACACTAAAGAAACACTTCTGTCATACATGACTAATAAAACTTCAGTATTTCCTTTTGTAGGACAAAAAGAAATGTTATGTGTTTACTTTCTAAGGAGTGCAAAATTTAAGTTTACAATAGTAACATTTGCTTTTAGTCAATAATTTGATCATAATTGTGAATTTTAAGTAAGTAGGACTCAGAGGACCCTGAAAAAATTCTGGTGGGTCTTAAAAAACAAATCCTTTAGAATTTTCAGAATTCTAACATACCACTGACTGAAATGAAAGCAGAAAAAGCTTTCATTTCATTCATTTTGGCGTGATGGTGATTCTGCTTATTTAGGCAAGATGTGCTTGCAATTGTTCGTTATTATTTATATCATTTAGAAAGAAAAAACTGCACATTAATAATTTTAAAAGTCATACTGTACTATTTAAAGTAATTTCAAGTACCTCCTTCCAAGATAATGTAGATAACATATGCTAAATGAACATAATTAACATTGGAAAACAAAACAGTCAAAAGTTAGCAAATATGTGAATTATGTTCCAGAAGAAGCCCCATCTAAAACACTGTGCACATCATCAGTGTATGGTATCATAATTCTGTTTTAATTTTCTCTTAGTTTAAGGATCATACATTCAAAGTTTTCCTGTTATTTCCCAGTTCTTGTAGTTCAGTTTTGCCTATACTCAAATTTGTACACTTCATACCTTTGAAAAGTTTTAAGCATATCTGTCAAATTTAACATAAAATAATATGCTTTATCCAATTTATCAGAGTACCTGTTCTCTTTCAGTATAGCAAATCTTTCCTGTAAAAGTGATATCTATTAATAAGTGATTGTTTGCTTCTTAAAATCTCCCAGGGTATGCAGGGTACCCTGTCTTAGCTAAAAGAACAAACAAAATCACCATTCTGCTCCAAATGCCCACATTTCACACACTGACATACTTCAGAAGCACAAAGGTATATCTTTCCATGTACGATACAGAATATAATATACAAATATGACAAGGAATATGATTCCCTCAATCAATCCTATTTTTCCTAAGCCTTTAAAAAGTTCTTAATTATTTTCCACATTCAGCATACAGGTGGAGAATATATGTACCAGATGATGATGCTGCAACGCTACTTCCCAGTCAGGTGAACAACAGAGGTCAGCAAACTTGACAGCAGCAAGACAAACGGTACAGGACACTGGGATACAGGAGTCAGGAATTTTACTTGCACACGAAGATGTCGGTCAAGCTTTGAAAGTTGCCCAAAAAGTTGCATTAATTCCAGTGTTGTATACTCTCTGTGTCCCGTCCCACTAGAAAACAGGCAGTGGGGGAGGATTCTTTCTGATAGATTTCTCAGACGAGAATAAAGCGTAAATGCAACAACATTAGATCTGAGACCCGTTTACCGATAAAGAAGAGTAAGCGTTCCTACAAAAGCGAGTTAGGAAAAGGAACACAGCGGGAAACCGAAGACAGGCAGGGGCAGCGCTACCGCAGGAGCCCCGGCGCTCTGTCAGCGCCCACTTGGCAGAGGAGCGTGTGTGCCGCGAACCGCGGCGCGTTGGCACAGCTCCCGTGACGGGCTGGGCGCGATTTCCGAACAGCAGCAGGCAGCGTGTCCCCCCCGTCGGCAGGGAACGGGCTCTCGTGGTCCGAGCGCATTCCTGGAGCACCGGCGGGCTCCCAGGCCGGGGCGCCGCGGCTGCGGGCGCGGCCGAGGGCCGGCGGCGGTGGTAGCAGCGGCAGGAGGCGGCCAGGGCCCGGGGACAGGGACCGGGTGCCGGTGCCAGGGGCCGGTGCCAGGGGCCAGGGGCCGAGGCCGGGGACGGGGACAGGGGTCAGGGGCCGGGGCCGGGGACAGTGGCCGGCGGCCAGTGCCAGGGGCCAGGGGCCGGGTACCGGGCTAGGGGCTGGCGGCCAGTGCCAGGGGCCAGGGGCCTGTGCCAGGGGCCCGGGGGCCGGGGCGGGTGCCAGAGGCCGGGGGCCAGGGACATGGGCCGGTGCCAGGGGCCGGGGGCAGGGTCTGCTGCAGGTCAGTGCGGCGGGCAGCGCAGGAAACACAGCGACTGTTAAAAATAGCTTAGAAACGGTTGTAAAATTGTTCATAATTGTTAAGCATGGACTTGTTACTCGGGAGAAGAGACCGACCCCCACCTGGCTACACGCTCCTGTCAGGCAGCTGTGGAGAGTGATAGGGTCGCCCCGAGCCTCCTTTTCTCCCGGCTAAAGACCCCCAGCTCCCGCAGCCACTCCTGATTTGACCTGTGCTCCAGACCTTTCCTTAGCCCCGTTGCCCTTCTCTGGACATTTTTCTTGTCACGAGGGACCCAGAACAGAGCACAGTATTCAAAAGTTGATGATGGGGATGAAACACGGTTTGGTACTTTCTGCAATACAGCGACTTAACTGCAGTCAGACTTGTAGATGGTGCAGGAAGAGCTGCAGGATTACTCAGATTGTTTCAAGGGAGCTCAGACTCTGAGGTCTGAACCTCTTCTCTGTTATAAAAAATTTTAAATGGTTATTGAAGCTGCAGCAATATTCAAATTTCTTATGCTAAATTTTGCTTCCATTTAAAATACACCAACAGCAAAACTTTTTGAGGCCAGACTGATATTCTGACAGTACTTATTTCCCAGTGTGTGACCATTTTGAAATCAGGAAACACTCTGCAAAACTTCTTACAAACAATTTTTGACGTGATGTGCTTCCTATCTTGTTATACAGCAGGATGAAACAAAGAATATATGACACAGTGAGAGAGACCAATTTTATTTTTATTTATGCCTCAACATATGTTATGAGCACCCAGTAAATTCAAAGGGATCCAGCTCCAGCTTATTTTCCAGTAACAACAGACTTCACTCTGATAATTTCAAGATCAGTTATTTTTCCCAAGTGAATAAATTTTAAAATCTGTCAAATAATTCAATTTATAATCTGATAAATGCATATAAAGTGATTACAAACATCCTATTGTTATATATAAAGATCCTTAGAAATTCCTAAATTTGTCATCATATTTATTAGGATTATGAAATTATGCATTTTTAGGAAAACAGCTCTAAAGATAACTTTGGAAAATATTCATCTCTGTGCTCATATTCACATAAAGATGGGAAAGTGCACCTGATTTATCAACCAAACTTGTAATCTTGAAGGGGAAAAAAAGGAAAAAAGGATTCTGATTAGTCTAGGAAGCTGGTTTAAGTCAGGCTATCAATAAATACTATTATAATAGCATATTTTGGGCATCTGAGTAAATAAAAAATGCCTTTTGAAAAAAATGGATGAGCTCAGTAGACTATCCAGCAAGCAGGCTCCGAACTTCTATAGAAGAGACGAAGCAATAAAGCTGCAGAGCTCCAGTAACAATATCTACACAGACATCTGTGAAACAGTGTTTGGAGACCACAAATAAATTGATTCAAAAATAATTAGAAGTATTAAGAA